GTCGTATTTACCATATTTCTGACTCTGCTCCGTATGTCGATCCAATCCCCTGTAAGACTCCAGAGTACAGAGATCAGCTCACTTTGGGGCAGCCCCTGCTTCCTCCTTTAGGAAGCCCTGGTCCTCGCCACGCCACACCTGTTACCATCCTGGTTTCTGGGGGGGGTGTGTGTGTCACAAACAGGGCTATTTTTGGGCAGGAACGCACAGGAACGGAGTTCCGGCTGGCTTCTGAGTTGGCCACACCCAGCAGGAACTTATTAGCATAACAGGCCACACCCAACAGCAGGAACTCATTAGGATTGGCTACATTAGGGGTGTGTGGCCTAACATGCAAAGGAGTCCCTGATACAAAAAAAGGCCCTGGGTTTTGACAACAAACAAGGTAAACAGAATAAGAAGCAAAAGGTGGGTGTGGCTGGATGACCACACTTCTGCCAACACAGGGCTGCGGCCTAATATGCTAATGAGATGTGATGTCAGGGTGTTGCCTAATATGCTAATGAGTTTCTGCTGTTGGGTGTGGCCTATTATGCTAATGAGTTCCTGCTGGGCTTTTTCTACAAAAAAAAGCCCTGGTCACAAATAATGTTCCCTCTAAGCTGTGGAGTCTTGTGAGCAACTATTCTACTTCGTGAGCTCCTGGCATTAAAGCTGTGAGCGAGCGGTTTGGCTGCTGCCTAAATTGGTTTGCTCTGGAGCCGTCCTTCCTGAGCGGAGACAAAAATGTGTGAGCTGGACTAACAAAACTGGTGGCAAGGTGTGACGAAATGGCTGCCAGGCCTTAAAATGGATGCCAGCCTGGTAGTTCCTTACGTGTGTGTGGAGGTACTCCATAGGGAACAATGGAGCTGCCATACCTCCCTGCCTACAGTTCCCAGCAGCCTTGAGGGGAAAGAGCGGGAAAAGATGAACACACCCCAGGGGCGGGGCCAAGGAGATAAAGGTTTTGGCTCCTGTGGGGGAAGGTCAGTCTTCAGCCAGATCTTCAGCCTTTGGCTTAGGGTGGACAAGAGCGTCAAGGGAGTGGACAGGTGGGGGCTCCTGTCACCTCAGACTCCGTGGGCAATCCAGGCCACTGTAAATCGTGGTGGTGAGCCCAGGAGGGTGGCACTACTGGTAACCAGTCCAGGGAAGGGCTGCGCTTTCCCTCCAACAATGAGGAGGGGGAAAGCAAATCCTGGCCTGAGGCCACAACCCACTACAGACGTAGAGAGGGTGTGTGTAGGGGCAGAGGAATTGTGTTTCGATCCTGTTTAATTTCTGTGTCCAGGTTATGTTGAAGTGCCTGTGTTTATTTTCATGCCTAACCTGTACATAGTTAAATAAACCTTCCTTTTTGAGTTTAAAAAGCCTGGTGTGCCTTAACCACATAGTCCTCCCCGCTCTGCACGTTACCAGGGGCAAAAGGGAGGTCGGGGAACAAAAAAGGGCCCAAATCGGAGGGCTTGCCAACTCTCCAGGGGGTGCCCAAAGATTGAGGTACCTGCTTCCCGGGGGGGGGGGGGGAACA